GGTTTACGTGTTGCTATGATGCAGAACCGATTTTAGCAGAGCTTCCAGACTAAGATGGACTAGGAAGTAAGGCCTGGCGATCTACTTCCAAAAAAAACAATGAAAACCCTAACCCTATGGATCACAGTGGTCCAATCCACAACCCATCATGAGTATGGTGCACGACTCTACTTTGTTCCATTGTGTATAGGGTCACCATGAGTTGGGGGCCGACTCAACAGCAGCTAACAGCAACATAATGAGTTTTGTTTGGTCTGGGAAGTATAGTTGACGAATTTAAGTGATGTACATTAGACAACTTTTTTAACATAATTTAAACTATCAAACATACATAGCCACAAGTGTTTGCTACTGCTGTAGTAAATAAGTGGAATTTCATGTTATCCCAGAGATTAGGTTTTAAAGTCAACTGTAGAAAAATAATGTATGGTATCATTACTTTTCCTTGCTGTTTCTTCAGTTGGATGCCATAGGAAGTAACTGGCATGCCATAGTGCATGAAAAATGTGTATGTTTATACTCTAGAATCACTCTCAGCTTCTTCAGATGACCTTACTATATAAAGAAGCTCTTAGGAACTGAGACTGATTGAGAGAACAGCTGACTGAGTGATCACCCTTCATTTACTCCATGGCGTTTGTTGATTGAGTAAAGTAATAGAGGGAATTGACTGTCCTGTTTTTCTCCCTGTTTAGAAATGCTTGTAATTTAATTTATATAAGTTAGATATTTGTATGACACAACATGTGTAGAAAGGAATGATTTGCTGCTAGAATAACCTAATTGTTTTTGACTAATTCTGAATTGCCTGAGGATTTGGACAAATTTTATTCAAATATAGATGTTTCAGCTTTATACGTACATAAAGTACAGATTTTTGAAAAAGATTAATTGAAGAATAACGTCTTTGTATACCAAAAGGATTCACCATGAGACTTGCGGCAAAATGGCGCGCTCTAGGCAGAAGCACCATGCCATCCCTCCACAGCAAAGATCCGAAAAACTAAGCCAAACAGAGAAAACAGCAATCCTGAAACCCTAAAACATCAAATGAAGAGATAAAGAACTCAGCCAAGCACCAACGGAGTAAGAAAACTCACAGAACGGAGAGCGAGGAGAGATTCATACAGAGGTCCCCTAGCAGCTAACACAGCACGGATCTGCCATCTTGGACTTCTCTATCAGAGACCAGCAAATAGGGAGTATGAGAAAGCAGCTTCACGGAGCTTCCAGCAGGAGAAAGAACAACTGTTTCTCGTCTCTCTATACCTTCCTTCTCTTACTGTTCCCTGAATACCTGGCACTGAATACCTTTACACCTTCTAGCCAGGCTGTACCGCAACACCTGAGAACAGCTTCCCCAGACCTGATAGCTGCACCGGTGGGATCCCTGGGAGCTTTGCTGTTCTTTTTCCTTTCTGATTTTTATTTATTCATTCTTCTCTTGTTTTTTTTTTTTTTTCTTCTTCTTCTTCCCCTTTTTATTTTTCTCCATTTCATAGTCTCTCATCTCTCCAACAGCAAGCTCCCCTAGCACTGTTTTTGGTGTGTTTGAATGTTTTTGGCTCCTGTTCCTCTCTCCTCTCTCCCATATCCATTTTAGCTCCACACATAACAATCTCCCCCCTACATCCTGCCTACCTGCACCGTGCACTTAACATCACACCACCAAGCAGCACAGGCACGGCCTACTGGAACCTGCCCTGCACAGATTACCGACCCACCCTGGTGGCTGTAGTAAGTGCCACAAACAACCCGTCCCGGTAACTCCTCTTCAGCTAGACCTGCCCTGCTGTACCATATCTGAGCAACTGACCCTGCCAATTGGAGAAGGAGTTGAAAAGTATCGTGCCCACAGATGAGGAAACAACGAAGAACACACAGCCCACCTGCTCAGACATAACCAAATAAAAAAAAAGGACGAAACAAACAAATGTACAATCAATAAACGAGAAAAATAACTACAGAATGCCTCAAAGACAGCAGACAATATCAAAACATTTACAAAAACAGGACAGGATGGTTCCAGTAGGCGTCCAAAATAAAACAACAGATGACTTTCCGGCAGAAGAAAAGGCACTAGAACTACCTGATAGGGAATTCAAATCTCAAATACTCAGAATTCTCCAAGAGTTGAAGCAAAAAGCAGACAAAAATGAGGAAAAAATAGACAAAATTCATGGAAAATACGGACAAAAAATTGGAAGAATTCAGGAAAATAATGCAGGAACAAAATGCCAAAATAAATTCACAACTATTAATTATACAAGAACAACAATTAGAAATCCAAAAGATAAACAACAAGATTTCAGAAATGGACAGTGTCATAGAAGGGCTGAGGAGCAG